TTTGCGAGCCGCGGGTGAATCGCGTCGATTCTGGCAGGAAGTCAAACCTAGACATAAGAGGCAGGCCGGTAACGTTAACAAAATAAAGCATTTCAAAATAAAATTCCACAATAGTCAAATGTGTTCGTAATCAGACACTGCAGATAAACCACACGAACACACACACACACACACACACACACACACACGTACAAACACTCAAACGTAGAGGAAAAGAGCTGAGAAAAGGCAGAGAGGAAATGGAGGACACCAAGTGTTTAAAACAAAAACTACAGCTGAGCCGAGGCGCGCCTCGACTGGGGCGCGTCTGATCTGAACTGAGGAGCGGTGAGCAGCGGCTGAATTTCGTGAGCGATTCGCTTTTCGGCGCTTCCGCGGCCGGTGTGTCCCCGGCGTCACTCCTGTTTACTGGCTTTGCTTCTTTAAACACTCTGGAGCTTTTTGCCTGTTGGTGTGCAATTACAAATTCTGGCGCTGCTGCGTTGGCTCGCTGCAGATTCAGCAGCCTCGCAAACGCATGAATTGTAAATCGTAACTTAAGTCCCGCTTTCGTTTTTTGGAAACAAAAAAAAAAAAAACTGACAACCCCCCCGCTGAATGACAATGAAATGGCTTTCAGTAAAGCCTTCCTTCCAATATAATTGTGAGATTAGATTGTTTTGTGATTATTTCACAGTTGAATTCTTACCAATTGCACCTTTAATTACTAAATAGAAAAGTACTTCTCTAAAAGTACTTTTTTAAAATCCATTAAGTTAAACCAAAATGTACAAAAAAGGTTAATATAATATAAGCAAAGGAACAGATGCCTACTGTGCATTTTATAGTGTGTAATTATTAGCTGTTTTCTTTGCTTATTGGTTCCCACCATAATATTAGAATGAGCTGGTAGCAGCATATATTATTAGATCTTAAATTTTTTTACCTGTAGCACATCAAAAGATAAGTAGCAACTAAAAACGTATCACCTCTGCAAGAAATAACAGCTGGGAGGAAGATGTTGGGAAGTAAGTCAGGGTTCATGTTGCTCTATACGATAAATACCATACCATACCATACCATATTTATTTATAAAGCACCATTCAAAATAGCATGGCAGCTAACTAAAGTGCTGTACATAAAAAAGCCAAATGCTTGAACAAGAAACACAATAAGAACAGGCAAAATACATAAGAACAAAGCTTAAATAAACAACTGACTGAGAAAAAAAAACAGTAAAAAAAAATCTGCACCAACTTAAACATCTTTAGGAGGGCTTCACAATGCCACATGAATACTCGCTGAGTTTTCTGCAGTGAGCTCATGTGGCTTATGAAAAGCCTGAAATTAAAAACTGGGCAGTCTCCTGAGACTTTGAAACTGAAGCAAAATTTCTTACCAGTGATAATGTCCTCCATTTGTTCGAGGGCAGCCTCCAACATGTGGCTGGCATGTGATGCCATGGAAACACTCTGTCCTGCAGAACAGTCCTAATGGGCCCTCATTCACCAGTGTGAAGAAGAGCGTTAAGGTTGGGCCCAGAAAAAAGGGTGCTCAAAAGGGCAGGGCTGGTCTGAAAGCTCACAGCCATCCTGACATCCCCCAACTAGAGTGTGGCTTTTGGGTTTTTCCTCTCCTCTCATTTTGTGACCAGAGATGTAACCAGCCTCAACTTTGTCATGCACACGATGTCCATGTTCACATTTGGAGTTGTTAAATTCAGCTCTGTGTTTGACTTATTTTTATTCCAGTGCCAGTTCGCAACAAAAGCCATCTACTAACTTTTTACAGAGACTTGTGCAAATGTTGACCCAAAATAATGCTGTTTTAAACAAAAAGCATTTTTAATTGGGCTAGTGACACAATTTACTCTGATGAATTTTAACATAAAACAAATGAACAAAGAAACTTTTACAAAAATTTTGGGAAGCAGCATGACTTTTCATTTCAGTTTCTCTTCTCTTCTTCATTGTTTGATTTTACCAGCAAGTGGCACTGTTGCGATAAGCATTTAATGAACCTGCTGCACTTGAAAGAGCAGAGTGGTAGTTGAAAACCGAAAATGCAATACATTAATAAAGAAAAGAAAGTTGGTATGCTCATCCTAAAATGTTTGGTCCTGTAACTTTGAGAATTACAATTTTTAAAAATCAAAGGTAATGCTTTTTCTCTTATGTTATAGAACAAAACTATTATTAAAATTTGTGTCTGTTAGCTATAAAATAATAGAAAACCACACTTGCTCAGCTTTGACCATCCTGAATATAGCATTTATATAAATCTTAAGCCAATTTTATTGCAGCACATGCGAACATGTAGAGACACCTGGTGCGTGGTGTGAAAAGTGATTGGTTGATTGATTACTGCACTATTTAACAAATATGCATTTTTGAAAGACGGACACAAATCTGTTCCTTCATTTTCCTTACCTCTCTGTCCCCTTTTGTGGTCACAGGGAGCTACAGGAGTCATGGAGAGAGAGGAGGGTCAGGGTCTATATCCTGGACAGGACCCCACACAAATAGAAGCAAATAACACACTCACAGATACACACCAATACACACATTTGCATACATGTGAGCACACAAACTTGCATTTTTTTTTTGTATTATAGCTCTGTGCTGCTCCAAAGCAAACCAACTGGGTCTGGTTTACTTTAATTATTCAGTTTTAATTGCTTTATAAACACAGTTGTGAAAATACTTCCAACCATAATTCGTTGACTAGGCAACAGTAGATTGTAAAACACACTTTCTTTTATTTGGACAGCAAAAAATATCTGTTAAATATAAATCAAACCATATTTTACATCTTTGATGTTTTCAGACCCAACTTTTATCAATTAAGTGTTCATAGAAGTATTTCATTTGCAGATGTTTCTTGTTTCCTACATGACCTAAAAAGGTTCTTTGAAACCACCATTGATCCCATAATGGAAAACTAAAAATAGAGAGAAAATCAATAAATCATTTTAATCATTAAGTCATCAAATCAAAAGACCTTTATGTAACGCTTCATATATAGAGTCCAAAGCTTTTCAGATGGAACATCCTGCCTATGTAAAGTAAACATCAGATAATATTTTACCAGGTACGAGAATCTGTGAAAACAATTCTCTCTTGCGCCTGGTTACCATCAGCTTGGCTAAATCACGGAAGTGCAGCGCATCAGGAATGTGTCATACACAGAACCCACTAACAAGACCTTAACAAGCAGCCCACTCACCTCTATCTCTGCAGTGACAACCAACGCACACTCTTTCTTTCTCTTTTAGTTGACACTCAGCAAGAAAATCCATTTTTTGACAACACTTCAGTTTAAAACAATTTTAACTACAGATAAATGTATGAGGTTTATTATTTGATGTAAATATTGATGCATGTTTATTAGCCATCTGCTATTTATTTACTTATTTATTTAGCTTTAAAAATAATGGGCCAGTCAACAAGAAAAACAGAAGTAAATATCAAAAATCAGTCAAAACGTTAAGGAGCTCCAGACAGCACCCGTGTCAATCAGTGGCTTAGGCCAGTATAAGATCGCTACCACAGTTAGTAACTTGGTAAAACTAATGAGGCCTTTGAGAACAAAGTCCAGCATTGTATCAACATGCAGTGTAATAAAAGGGAAGTCCATGAGAAATAAAAATTTTAATAAAAAAAATGTAATAAAAAATGCTTGAGAGTTTTGCAACTTCAGGTGAAACTTTCACAAAAGTTAACACAGGAACCACCCAGAATTTTTCCCTGCACCCCTATAAAATATAGCTATGAGCGTCACTGCTCTAGGGGACTGCCAGACAGGGGAGAATATGAGAATGTGTCCATGTACTGTGGAGTCGTTTGATTTTAAAAGCAATACGACCAACCATTACCAACCGTTTTGCAAGCTTAATGTTTGATTTTAAATGTTTCATGAACATTTAACAGATGCTGAAATACACAGAAATCTTACCATTTACATTTATTTTTGAATGACAAAAAAGAACGATGCATCATAACGGTTAACTGTTTATGGTGGACAATTGTCCATACGTTTAGTACCTTAGCCTTTTTGCTTTCTTGGAAATAAAATTACTTGCTTGCCTGCCATTTATGCACATTTGAGGATTTGGTCTTTGCATGTAATAGCAGATTAAATCCCCCTTTTTCCTCAGCTAGAAGCATTTCTAGCATTTTCCACTCATCTTTTGGCTAGCCTCTAACCAACAAATAAGGAAAGGAAAACAGCAGAGGCCTGAAACCTGCAGTATTAAAGGCATTGTAAACCTGAGTCTTGCTGTAAGCTGCATTAAATGGGAAAAGAAGGGCACACTGATTGGAAAGTAGTAATTAAGTTCCAGGTGAGTTTCAATTTTCTTCTCACCTAGTGAGCCAGAAAATATCCTGGAAGAAGATCTGCACAGTTTGTTGCCTGCCAGTGCATTCAAGTACTTGTAATATGGAGCATTTTCTTAAATCAACTGCTCACAAGAGAAATGAGAGTGAAAAATGTAGATTTCTTTTTAAGTACATAGGTTTATTAGATGCCTGTATAGGGTAAAAAGTCTGTTATCTTCTTATCCATTTCAGAAAACTACTTTGAAATATTTATCAAGATATTCCAAATATTACATCTCTTTGAAAACCAAGACCCTGTCTGCTCTGCAGACATCAATTTGGACCATTTTAGGCTCGGCGGGTGCATTTGGCTGGGGACCCAGGTAGGCCTGTGTCAAGTCTGAGATTGGATGACTGATGTTTTGATGCTTCTTGACAGCTTCATTTTGAGGATTTTCTCCAGTTCTCTGTCAGATTCATAGTAATGTCTACAGCAAATGAAATTCGTCATCAAACGTTTAACTTTTAGTACAATGAGTTACTGAAAATGGGCAATGTTTACATTTTAATTTGAACATTTTAGCATTTCACATAAACATCTAAACCTTGGGGAGCAGATAAGGGAGCTTTGCATGCATCTTTACCTCATTAAAAAAAATCACACAAACGTAAATTCACAAAAGCACTTGGAAAACAGGGTCAGTTTATCATAAGACACTATTTATTTCTTACACTGAACATATTTTACTTACAGATATTTCCTCGAGAAACTCAATCTCACTGCACATCAACTGACAGAACAACACATTGTATTGCAAAAACAGAAACAATCAAACTAGGAGAAGATATCCTACCAAACCATGATCTCATGCACCATTTCAACACCAAAATAAAAAATATATAATTCATAAACATAAAATACAATATGGCAGTTCAACTGGTTTTTAGTAGTTTGCAAACACAGACTCACTTTATTGAAACAAGTACCAAGACAATGCAAAAATAACAAAAACTTAATGACTAAATCAAAAAATCATGAATGCAAGAAATCCAGAAATAGCACAGACCTAAAATGTCTGCCTACACCCATTTCTCTAAAAGAACATCATAAAAAAAAAAATAAAACATCCATCCTTGCGGTCATTTGACATGCAACACAAGACAATTAATGTCCGTCCTTCACATAGCTTTTAAGTGAACGTTTGCAATTTTGTTAAAATTATGTGTGAACAATTCTCAGCAGCACTCAGCAGCTTTGTGTTGATCGGTACTCTTCTGGTAAGTAACTGTTTTTGAAGGCTACGGAGAAGGAGGTGCTTTTAGAGAATTGCAGGATCCTCCCTGGCTACTACCTGAGGTCCCAAGGTACTGAAAACAAAACAATAAACACACGAATCATACAAAAAAGCTGTGAAACAAGTCAAAAGAACACAAATCAAAAGGAGCCATTATTTTAAAAGTGCTGAACACTAAAAAAACATTTTTCTAATTATTATTTCTGATTATAATCAGTCACTCTGAGTTTTTCATGCAGGCTTAACATAGTCTCCTACATATATCTCCTGCATTAGCTTTTGATAGAAAGTAACTGATGCAGTTTTAGTATTTGAAAATCCAGACAGATCTACATCACACTGTCATTTAATGTTCATACACATTCCAGGAAATGGTAGAGAATGCTAATAGAAGCTAACTATTAGCATTAGCAACTCTACCACACAGCAGAACTCCTCCAGACTTGTGTTATTTGTGGAGATGAAACATTGCAAACAAAGTCAGTGGTAGATTAGTGTTGCTGTTAGCCAATCAGAGGTGAGTTATCTAATAATCACAAAATAATAATCTAAATCCTGTCGCCTGAAGCTACTTTCTCCTCCAGCTGACCTCTACTTCCTGATTCAGGTGCATCTGAGTTTTTTTATTTTTTATTTTTTTCCCCAGAGTACAACTTACAAGGATTTCAAGGCAAGACCGCTTACCTGGGCAGACTGAGTAGAGCTCAGTTTGTCCATTATTCTAACAATATAACTTTTATGTACAGTTAAATTTCACCTTGTTATAATTTAAGCATTGTGTGGTAAAAGCATGATAATAAATCATAAAACCCACAAAAGTATCATGTAAACTTAAGGTCAGGGTTTTACTTTTGCTTTTCAATCAATATTTTTGCTCAAAACATTTAAAAACTGCTCACTTATTAAATTCTTGGCATTCTTGTCTGAAAAGCTTGGTTTATGCAGATTGCTGTGGTCATTGCTATGGCAACCATGGCACAGTGTTTTTTTCCCCAGCCATCTGATCCAGATATTCACTTTCAGTTTAACATTGCTTTCTGAGTGCTTTGAAAGAATAGCACTTCCTCTTAACCGAGGGTTATTAAAATGGACGTATACTGCAAACATACACACAAAGTCTTCCCAAAGAGGATACACATTTTCACAATTCTGAGATGCTATTAGATCAGAATTAGGGTTCAGCCATAATAATATAAAAATGAAATGCAAAAGGGCTATTACACGCTATTACATGCAAACATCTTCCAACGTGTTTCAAATTACTTCACTACTAAGTGAGGTTTAGCTTTCATTCTTTAAAGATTACGAAGTTAAAGCCTTGTTAGTGTTTGCTAAGGCTGATTTTGTTCTTTGGACACCTGAAATAGGGTGGACTTCAAAAGTGGTGAAGAATCTGGAGGTTAAACTGGATAACACTCTCAAACTTAACAGAAATGTAGATGCTTTGATTAGGCCCGGTTATTTTCAGCTCCACTTTTTAGCTAAAGTAAAAAACATTCTTAGCCGCAGCGACCTGGAGAAAACTACCCATGCCTTTGTCGGATAACTTTTGGATTACTGTAGTGCCTTCTACCATTGACTACCTCAGACAACTTTACACTGCCTGCAACTTGTGTAAAACACAATGGCTCTACACCCCATCACTCTTGTAGGCGCGACCATATCACTCCAATACTATATACCCCCATAGGAGATCCAGAAAGAGAGGCTCACGGTCTGGTGTCCAGGTTAAACGTAGGTGTGCTACAGCGCGTAGGAATTTCACTGTTTTCAGCCGCCGGGACGGCGTTCGATGCCTGCGCCGGATTCCTCTCCTTGAGGAGTGCGACGGTGTGTCCACGCTGCCGCTTGCTTGGACTCAAAAAAGTGTCCTGGTTACTTCACGGCGTTGGAGCTGTGGTCTGGAGTTTAATGGAGTGGCCATTACCTACTTCCGTGTTTGTGCCGCCGGCTCGACTCGCAAGGACCAGCAGGAAACCACATGCCCACTCAGCCTGCCTTCGTCCAATCCCAATGTGCAACACGAACACTGCCCTCATGACGTCATCTACAGTTCACGTTGGCTTGCTGAATGCTCGTTCAGTTGGAAATAAATATCATTCAGAAAACCATTGCAGGAACTCTGCCTCAGTTGGATCAAAGATGTTTTCTGCACGGAAACAAGTACTGTGGGAAAATGTGGTGAAGATCTCTGTCTGAAAGTGACCAATCACGTTAGGGAAGGCGGCTCCTTGGAACCCGCCCCCCAAACTGTCAAAAGTGAAATTTGTCCAAGAGAGCGGAATTTCTACTCGAGAGCAGAGCAGGCTGCGCGAGCGTGTGTTAACAGTTCCACGCGCGTAGTACACACACTTACGAGCAACAGGAACATTATCTGTGCTTGACTGGATACAATCTGCTCTCCGGTCTTTCTAAACACGTGCAAGGTGCTTTTTCACACTCGCGGATAGTTTAAAACATGCGCGGAGGGTTTAATTATCCTCTCGTGATTGTGCGTGCTCTCGCAAAACCTTATTGACTAAAAATTGACTCAATACTCACACTCTATTGGACGCTCCTATAGAGAAACCTTACATATACAAGCGCAGTACACACAGAGGTGCTCACATGGTGGTCTCATAAGTTTGGACTTGGGCACGTTCAACACATGTCAGCTGTGGCTGGCACTTAATGCACTGTGATTTATTATCGTGATTGTTCAGTAAAACAATGTTTTTGAATTTCCTCAACAGGCTGATGCAGTGATAGCTTGCTCCGTTTGTATTGCTGTGTGTCCCTTTTCTTTTTCTTTCTATCTCCTTCTGCAGGTCTAGAAGCAGACTCTTGTTCATCATTGATTGTTTGTTTTTGTGGAACCCCCCTTCCTTTTGTCTCTTCCTATCTCTTTCATCTCTGTCTCCGTGTGTGGTCAGAATTACAAGCATTTAAAAAACAATAAAGTTTTAAGTATCAGGCATGACATTGAAAGCAGAAGCTTTGGTGCGCCACCTGAGAGTAAATCTGTAAGGTTTGTCACCAGCATTCAGACATTAATTCTGTTTGCTTCACAGCCAGACAGGACTCGGTAAAAAAAAAAAAAAAAAAAAAAGAAAAAAAAATAGTATGTGGTGCTCTTTCAAGAGTATGACGCTTGTTGACATTTCAGCACTAGTGGCTAAGAGGAAGCCTTCATTTTGTTCATCCGACATCATTCCTTGTAGGCTCTCGGAAAAGTGTTTGAGGTAATAGGAACATGTATTACCAAAATGGTCAACCTCTTTCTAACAACTGGTGTGTTTCCCAACGCACTTAAACATGCCATTGTGGAGCCACTACTGAAGAAAGTAGGTTTAGATCCAATTGACCTTAGCAACTATAGACCTATTTCCAAGCTTCAGATTCTTTCTAAGATTCTTGAGAAGGTGGTCAACCAACAGATGTCTACCTTACTCAACCAAAGTAACATCATTGAGCCATTTCAGTCTGGTTTCCGTAAACATAATTCTATGGAATCAGCTTTATTGAAAGTGTCCAGTGACATTATGATGGCTGCTGATTTGGAAAAATGCACTGTTCTGGTACTCTTGGACCATTCTTCAGCCTTAGATACAGTTGATCGTCAGGTTCTGCTGATGAGACTGAGGGACCAAAGAGGACTATCAGGGAAAGTTCTTCAGTGGTCCTCCTCTTATTAATCAGAACGTAGCTTTAGTGTTACAGCAAACCAAATAAGGTCAGAATCTGCAGAACTGTTGAGTGGAGTGCCCCAAGACTCCGTCCTGGGTCCTGTTCTTTTCTTGTTGTATTTTACCCCTTTGGGTAAGATCATTCAAAGGTTTAGTGATGTTTCATTTCACCTATTTGCTGATGACATTCAGCTATACTGCTCTTTTAAGCAGTTTGAGCTGAATAAGTTAGACACTTTGCTTCATTGTTTAGTGGAGATAAAGAAATGCATTAATGAAAATTCCCTGCAGTTCAATGCTAACACAACAGAAACTCTGGTTGTTGCCCCTGTTGGTTCTGTCCCGGGGATTAAGCAGTACCTGGGTTATTTGGGCCGATCTGTGAAGTTAAGCCTTAGAAATTTAGGAGTCATCTTTGAGAAGGAAAGGTCTTTTATGCAGCACTGTATGCAGCTAACGAGAAACTGCCTTTTTTAATTAAGGAACATCTCGAAACTTAGACGTGTGGTGTCAAGAAATGATTTGGAGATCCTCATTCATGCTTTGCGTCATCCCATTTAGACTACTGTAATAGTTTATTTTCTAGTCCGAACAAGAAGGAGCTTCATTGTCTGCAACTAGTGCAGACCACTGCTGCAAGAATCCTGACGCGCATGAAAAGGAGGTTTCACATATCCCCCATCCTAAAGGAACTCCGTTGGCTGCCTGTGTCTTTTAGGTTCAAGTTTAAGATTTTGGTTCTGGTTTTCAGAGCCCTGCATGGACAAGCTCCCTCCTACATTAGAGACCTGATCCAACCCTACACCCCTGTGCGGGCTCTGAGGAGTGGGGATCTTAATCTGCTTAAAGTTCTTCACACTTACTATCGCACTAGAGGTGACCGCTCATTTGAAGCTGTAGCTCCTAACCTCTGGAATAACCTACCCCTCACTCTGCGTTCTATTGATTCTGTTGACAAATTCAAGAGTGTGCTTTAGACTCATTTATTTGTTCAGGCATTCGTCTAGTTATTTTAGGGCTGTTATGTTTTCTGTGTGGTCTTGGCATTTTATGATATGTTTTTTATTTATTTATATAAATTGTTTTTATTTACTGTTTTTATTCACAGTTTTTATTTTACTCATTTTTTTGTTTAAACTTTTAGTGTTTTCAAGCACCTTGTGGCTAATGCCTGGGAAAGGTGCTATACAAATAAAGTTTACTTACTTACTTACTTATACCTTACATAGACTCCCCATTCAATTTATAATCTTACTTTTGGTAATTTTTTTCAACTCTTTTTCCAATTCTGAGTCAGAAAAGGGTAGAATGCCTTCTCCAGATCAGGGATGAGGACCTTCCCCATGTGGAGGAGTTTAAGTGTCTCGGGGTCTTGTTCATGAGTGAGGAAAAGATGAAGCGTGAGATTGACAGGCAGATCGGTGCTGTGTCTGCAGTGATGCGGGCGTTGTACCGGTCTGTCATGGTGAAGAGATCTGAGCCAGAAGGCAAAGCTCACGATTTACCGGTCAATCTACGTTCCTACCCTCACCTATGCTCACTAGCTTTGGGTAGTGACCGAAAGAACAAGACTGCGGATACAAGCGGCCAAAATTAGTTTGGCTAGGTTCTTCCTTAGAGATAGGGTGAGAAGTTCAGTCATCCGGGAGGGGCTTGGATTAGACCCGCTGCTCCTCCACATCGAGAGGAGCTAGTTGAGGTGGCTCAGGCATCTGGTAAGGATGCCTGCTGGGTGTCTTCCTGGTGAAGTTTTCCAGGCACGCCCAACTGGGAGAAGGCCTAAAGGGAGACCCAGGACATGTTGGAGGGACTATGTTTCCCATCTGGTCAGGGAACACCTAATGGGCCATTCCCATCTGTACCGGGTCGGCCCGGGCCGGGTAGCCCCAGTCGGCCCCAGCCTGGCCCGGTTGACTCCACACATCCTTGTCTTAAGCCCATGTGGGCTGATTCTACCCACCAATCAGAGGCTTGCTCTAATGGAAGGTGTGAATTTGCTGTCAGCAGTGGGTGTGTTGGCCCTGGTCGGCCTGAAGCAGACCCCCTCGAGAAGAGGGCTGAGAATGAGCCTTGGTTGGCCCGGAAAAATACCAGGCCACCCAGATATGTAAACAACCTACGCTACCCGGCCCGACCCGGTGCAGATGGGAATGGCCCATTAGGTTTCCCCCAGAGGAGCTGGTCCAAGTGGCTGGGGAGAGGGACGTATGGGCCCCCTTGCTTAGGCTACTGCTCCCACAACCCGACCCAGGACAAGCGGCCGAAAATGGATGGATGGACTTTTTATTATTTGTTCGACCCACTGTCTTGCTCCTTGTTGTCTAGGTGATCTATTGACCCCTCATTAGCCAAGCAGAGCTTTACACTCCTTGGATCAGCATTTACTGGTGGTCCCTCAATCAAGGTTCTAACAGTGAGGGGATTGACCTTTTACAAGGTTGAGACCAACGGGCTGCTGCTGAAGATGCGCTCCATCAAGGTTCTCTCTATTTGGGGCCAAACTAAAACACCATCTGGGCTTTTGACTAATGAGAAACAACGTCACTGTGGTGATAACTTGGTTTTTATTTGCTGTTTTTAGATTTCTGTGTATTTATACCAAACTCTGGTTTTCTTGGTGTTCAGTGCCTTGCAAAACCCTTGAATGTTGTAATGCGCGTTTATAAATAAAGTTTTGATTGATTGGTTGAAATATTGATTGACTGACTAAGTCATTTGTTTCTGAAAGTTTTAATAAAATAAGTTATCTTATTATTTTCTGTCGCAAACAATAATAGATCAATCCAAAAATACAACAACATGATTCAATGTTTAAAACAATGTGGAACTTCACCCGAAAACAGGCTGGAGTTAATTCTATCCCAGAACTCATTGGCAATAGCAGTCCAAACTGCCTTCACAAGACAGGAAGGTATGGCATCCAGAGTAGAGCCCGAAGGCTTAAGTTGTCCCACAATGTCTGCCAACCCCTCATGGGGTACAGCCTCAAATTGCCAGCATCCCCGACTGTCTAGGCGGGGCCATGTGCCATGTGACTGAGGCATTGACTTGCATTAATTTTTTTTCATTCTCCCAGGGACCCATGAGCCGACCAGAAAGGGAGGAGACTCAGGCTCCCTATAATAAACTGTAGCAACGTTCCTCTTTCCTTTATTTTGAAAAGAGGAAAACTGACAATATTGCAGCCAACTGGAAATGAAATATGTTTAAGTCCAACCTTCCTTCCAATGTGATTGAGGCATTAGACAGTTTTGGAACAGTGTATTACTTTTGATTTTCTTTTTTGTTTCACCCACATACCACAGTTCATTTCTTTGACCAAATACTGGAGCAACAATCCTATGTTCTTACCACCAATAAGACATGTTTTCATTCAGAATGTATTTTTGGCATAAAGGCCTAAACATCTAAAACAAGTCCTAGTCAAGCTTTGAAACTGTTTGTTTTGACAGGCTTTGCGGCAAATAACTGCACTTTGTGGAAATCAAAGCAAAAGCATGTTCATGTTGAAACCTGGTCAGTCTTTCATGCATGGGAACACACATCACATCCGTTAAAGAAAATTCCACTCACCTCTACAAGAGGATGCCAGTGGGCAACAGGTTTTCGGGGATATGTGAGCATTTCGCTCCAGTGTTCTCGACCGAGGCTGTCTGCATCGTTGCCTATTCGACACACACCAATGACTTCATTATGGCCGACCCTATAGGTTGAAGAGGAAACAAGAAAAGGAATGGAATCTCAGCCTGCCTTGCATAAAACATAATGATATATTAAACACAGAATGAGAAAAGAAAATCGCTCATATCTTTTCTGTTGTGGGAGGAATCAAATTAAAAAAGATGCAAAAGTGGTGCTGATTAAGTCTAATTTAAATAAAGTACCGATCATAGTCCATCACGGCTATCAAGAGGCTGATTTGCTCTATGTTTTCTGGAAGGACATCAAAGACAATGGCCTCATTATAGACGGGATTCAGAGTGTTCCTCTTTGTTGACGTCTTCCTCTTCTTCAGCCTGCGACCCTCACACATCAGTGAAACCTTCACATATGGATCTGTAGGAACGAGACAAATGAGTAAGAACGCATCTATTCACATTCAGGATCCTATCTGAGGTCTGTAGCTGTAGATGGTTATCTGACTTTTATTACCAGATGCTCCAGTGATATCCATGGCCTTGAGATTGCGAGCCTGAATCATGGTAATGGTCAATCTGCCGGCAGTCGGCAAGTAACAGAGCGAAAACATCAGATCCCCAAGATCCACGTTATCCTAAAACACATCAGGAACACATACCCTCTCACAAGAGTATAACCTTGATGATATCTTACTTGATATCCTAATGCACACTAGCCAGCAGTATCTGGCTTTTTTTCCACAGAGTTGAGAAAATTTCTTTTTTCCTTTTAACCGTAAAAAACTCTGGAATGTCACGTTGCTTCAGTGAAAGCCAGTATGAAGACTGTTCAGCTGCAGCTCACTTATCACCTGCTCTGAAAATAACTCCATCAAATGAAGTGAGAATTGTAAGAGCCCACAGATATGTGAGAAGAAATGTGTACAAGTTCTCGCTGATCCATCACTTAGCTCGAGAGATGTGTTGGTACTTTGAATTTTGTGTTATCTACCAATGAAATCTTAGCGTAATAGTTTGAATAATTGAGATTGTATGAAATTTGTGAATCTTGTTTAGAAACACAGTTCCAGTTTTACTCTCGGTTATTCAATTTCCAAAACAATAACTGGCCAAAAGAAAGTGACGCTAATTCCAGCAACACAAGCCCTGTAGGAAAACAAGCAGAAGCAGACTATTATTAATATTACTATTAACTCTGGGGCTTAGTGACTACATTTTTTTATCTTTAGTGACTTTTTAAAGTGATTAGCAGCAAATCTTACAACATTCTGGTAATGTTGGAGACTTTTGGAGACTGACGTAAAAGAAAAAAATATTGTTTGAGAATGCTTGATTTTGTATGTGTTTGGATTCTTTTTCTAATACATTTAATATGTATTTTGGTAAAATGATATCTAGATCGAAATGTAAAAATTGAGAGTATCCCTATTGAAACTGTAAATGAAAACAAATTCCTGGGATTAATAACTGATAGTAATCTGTTATGGAAACCCCATATCAGAAACATAAAAGCTAAAATCTCAAAAGGCCTCTCGGTTTTAAACAGAGCTAAACCATTCATAAATGGGCTGCATGGTGCTGCAGTGGTTAGCACTGTTGCCTCGCAGCACGAAGGTCGCAGTTTCGAAACTCGGCTGCAGCCTTTCAGCGTGGAGATGCGTGTTCTCCCCATGCATGCGTGGGATTCCTCCGGGTACTCCGGTTTCCCCCACAGATCACAACATGCCCTACAAGTTATACATTGTAAGTTGCTTTGGATAAAAGCGTCTGCCAAATAAATAAACATAAATGTGAATGAACTGCGTTCATTATATGATATACTTAAGCTTCCTTACTTCACATATTGTGAAGTGTGGGGAAACACTTACCAGAATGCCACACATTCATTAGCAGTAGTACAGAAACGAGCTGTGGGGATCATTCACAAAGTTGGCTTTTTAGCTCATACCTATCACTTGTTCATCCAATCCAAGTTGCTCAAATTTCATGATCTTGTAGAATATAATACAGCTATAATCCCATGTAAAGCGTTTAATAAATTACTGCCAGTGAAAATGCAACATATTTTTACAACTAATGACAGAGCCCATAGCTTCAGAAGATATGGACACTTTGTAATTCCTAAAGTAAGGACCACTTTTTTTTTTGTGTGTCTGTACGTGGGGTGAAACGGGAACAGTATGGACACAAACTACAGACAATGCAAACATATTCATCAGTTTAAACAAGTAAACAAACATAAGGTCTTTTCACAATGCATAGTGTATGGGGTCGTAAATGTACTTTGGCAGTCTGCACTTTTGCTCATTGTGGTCATTCTCTGTCAAATTGTTATTTATGATCACTGTTGGTGTTGCGGTTGTATCATTATGTTACAGTCATCTGTTACCATTGTTGGTATTCAATATAATAATTGTCTTAATCACAATTTAACTGGTTAATTTCAAAATTATAAATTGTTAAATGGGGGTGGGATTAAATAAGTTTTCTTCTTCCCACTCCCTTTCAAGCAACCACTAATGATCATTATTTACTATAATTTTTTTTAGAATCTTTTTCAGATGATGCTGATAGTGTTGTTGTTGATATTGTTGTGAATGATGGTGAAGATGACGATGTTGACCAGTTATGATGAGTATTGTGATGGAAACATGATGTTGCTTGAAATGAATACATACTGAACTCAACTGAATATATTTAATAATAAATATTATGTAGAAGTTTAATTCTAAAATGGCAAAGTGCACCATCTAATAACATTCACAGAGATAACTTTCAGCTACCACATGTCTTCATTTACTCTTGACACTCTAAGGATTTTGGATTATTAAATAAAGTTAATTCATCTGGGTAATAAAAAGTCTGGATCATTTATTTTATGAAAGAGCAAACCGAGTCAGGTGATGTGTTTCATGAATGGGTCCAAAACGGACCAAGAAGAGATTACGTGTCTAAATGAGTTGATCCCAGCAAACTCCTTTCTGGGTCTGATCCAGATTTGTGACCATGATCCGTTCCAGATCTATTCTGGATTGCAAGTAGATAAGGGTTGGTTTTGCGGATCAATTCTGAAGCTTACGCTACCTTCAGGGCGGATCCAGTCAGGAATCAGTTTGCTATCTGGGTAAGCTCCTGAACAAGCAGTGCCATGGTGGCCATCCCCCATTCCAGAGTACTCACAGGCAGCCCAGTCCTCCTGCAGCAGTCTCCCTCCCAGTTACAGTCAGTACAAGAAATGTTCACCCTCTTCATTCAGACTACAAATCAGTCATGCTTGCATGAAGTTGCAGCTGGCTAATAAATGCAAATGTTTAAATTTCTTTGCTTACCCCAAACCACTGCACTAAATCACAGCAGCTAATGTGTGTTACCAACTTTGTTTTTGAAGTTAATGAGAAATAAGTAAACAAAAACAAGAAAAATGGAATTTGTGTCTGTTCTAAACCCAGTTAAAGTTTGAAGAGTGGATGAAAGGTAGGGCAGTTGTTAGCTGTTGCCTCAGAGCGTGAAGGTTGCAGGTTTGAATCCCAGCTGTGGCCTTTGTGTAGTTTGTGTGTTTACCCCATGCATGTGTGGTTTTTCCACAGGTAATCTAGTTTCACTGTAGTTCAAAGACAGTTGAGCTGTTGTTTGTGCTGTAATCCACTAGCAAGAACAAAAACAATTTATAAGCATAAACAATATTCCATCTTTTAGGAAATAAATGTGTGTGTGCGTGCGTGCGTGTCATTACTGTAAAGCCACAATAAACTACTGCAAATCACACCACAGCTCAGATGCATATTTATGCAGGCAGCACATTTTAAATATAGCTTATTTATCTTAAATGTTCCAGAGAAAGTGTGACTGCGTGATGAGCTGGAGGTAAATGAGCTCTCTTAGCTCAGTAACTTTGACATTTTACACCAAAGCAGACAAATCTTGATTTTCTACCCATCTGTAGCTTTGAGACATGGATAAATTTTACATGTATAGCTTTTAATCCAGACTAAAGCACAGTTTTCTTCTTTTTTCCTGTACATGATGGATTAACTGGCATGCCCTCCAGAAAATGTGATCCCAGAGAGAAGCTAGGGGCTTTTCATGCTTCATGTTCCACACAGATTCAACAGTATTTAGGAGGGAACGATTTGAGTGTTTGCTTAAGTTCTAACGTAAAAATGAAGCTTTGCAGTTTCTTGCATTTTAAAAACAACACAAGCCCTAGTAAAATATTGCTTATTTCTCATTTCAATTGAAGATGCTGTTCTTGTAATCTGTAAAATGACTCATGTTCTTCCATCAATAAACAATCTTTTTTTTTTTTTTTTTTTTTTTTTTTTTTCTGTAGAGCTAAATGGGCCAAATCTGGCAATAAAACACACAATATGGTCAGTCCCTCTGGCAATCGAGGCCATGCAAATCTCCGTGGTCTCCGCTGCAGTAAACATCCTCCCTTTATGCTGCTTTTAGCCTGTATGTAAGATTATTATGTGCTAAATGTCTGAGGACAAGCATTTCTGTGAGTTTTGCTGTATAACGAAACACACATCCGGTCTGTGTGTGTTTGAGAAGTGTAAAGAACAAGGGGAGGGGGGGGGGGGGGGAGGGGGGGAGCTGTCTGTTTCCATCACCATTTCTGTTGCAAGTCACTGCAATGCAATAGCTAACTGCCAAGTTACTTGTTAATTTGCTTCCTGATTTTGGTGAAGAAGTGTGGAGTTCAGAAAAAAACTAAATAAATATTAAACACCATCAGAAAACCGGGAGTCAGGCCAAAGGTTTTAAAATTGTAACTTGGAACCAAAGGTTGAGGGCTAAGGACAGCCTGTCCACATAGTTAACACACAAACAGCAATTTTAATTAAAGCTGCAAGCACAGAAATTTGGCCTTCACACCGTGGTGGCTGCATGCATCGTGCGCCACCTACGCCTGCAGAAATATTCTTGTGACAAAACATCTCTTATTTCTCACTGAATGTGATCACAAACTTTAGATAATGGATTAAAGATCATTGATAATTTATTCTTTAAATTAATAATATACTAGCTTTTAGTGATTTTTTTCCCCCAGTTACCTTCAAACATAACCATATTAACACAAATACACAACAACACAAATAAATACACGAGGCCAATAAATGAATATTTGGTCACTGAGGCAAACTTTGTTGTTGTTAATAATAATAATAATAATAATAATAATGAGTATTATAATGATTAAACTATCAGGAGAATCAGGAAAATAGTCTTATATACCAGGGTTAACAAGTGCGCTTCCCTCTTATTTTCCAGGGATGGTAATGCTGCAGTTTGATATAACTTTTTTTTTTTTTTTTTTTTTTTTTTTTTTTACAGTGTCCTGTCTGGCTGTGAAGAAAGCAGAATTGATGTCTGAATGCTGGTGACAAGCCTTACAGATTTATTCTCAGGTGGAGCATCAAAGCATTTGCTTTTAATGTCACGCCTGATACTTAAAACTTTATTGTTATTGTTGTTGAATGCTTTGTAATTCCGACCAGACACGGAGACAGAGGTGAATGAGAGAGGAAAAGAAAAGGTGGGGAGAGAGGGGGGGGGGGGGGGGGGGGGGGTCCACAAAAACAAACAATAATGAACAAGAGTCTGCTTCCAGACCTGCAGAAAAAAGACAAAA